AGAGAGAGAGAGAGAGAGAGAGAGAGAGAGAGAGAGAGAGAGAGAGAGAGAAGAGACAGACAGATATTCTTAGTTTTTAGTAAGAGTTTTACAGCACTTGCAACTGCATAAGGTCATATGAGGGCCAGAAGAATAAAGGTGTTACAAGAGAGTAACAAACATAAAAAAGAAGAAAGGGAGATAAGGGCAATAGATGTTTGACAGGAAAGAAGGAGCAAATCACACCAGAGCACCAGCCAACCACCCACACAGACAGACAGACAGACAGACAGACAGAAGCACCAACACAAACATGGCCAAGTACAAAGCCCACAAGCACAAGAATTGTCCTGCTGCTCACGTTTATTAGCGACAAGTCCCTCTCCTTCTCTCTCTCTCTCTCTGTCTCTTTCAGTCTCTCCATCTCTCTCTCTCTCTCTCTCACACACACACATACACACAGAGGCACGCGTACATGGCATTTATCTACATTATACAACGCTACATATTCAGAAAAAAGCCCCCAAAACAACATTGATTTCTGCTCTCTTTCCCACGAATTTGGCCACTCCCCTCCGAACACTCTTTCTGACAAAAAGGTACAGGTAGGATTCTACTTACAGGACACACATACGAGACACATAAATGACACATGGCTACAGGACACACACAACACATGGCTACAGGACACTTAAATGACACATGGCTACAGGATACATAGCCACAGGACACTTACATGACACGTGGCTACAGGACACAAATACATGACACATGGCTTCAGGACATATGCATGACACATGGCTACAGGACACGCATACATAACACATGGCTACAGGACATATACATGACACATGGCTACATGACAAACAGCTACACGACACATACATAGCACATGGCTACAGGATGCACAGCCCCAGGACACTTACATGACACATGGCTGCACGACACATACACAAAACATGGCTGCAGGATACATACATGACACATGGCTACAGGACACATACACAACACATGGCTACAGGACACAAATACATGACACATGGCTAAAGGACACATACAAGACACACGGCTACAGGGCACACATACATAACACACGGCTACAGGACACAAATACATGACACAAGGCTCCAGGACACATACATGACACATGGCTACAGGACACACATACATGACACACTGCTACAGGACACAAATACATGACACATGGCTACAGGACACATACATGACACAGGGCTACAAGACACATACATGACACAGGGCTACAGGACACATACATGACACAGGGCTACAAGACACAAATACATAACACATGGCTACAGGACAAAAAGCCTTCAAATTCTATTAAGACACAAGAAACCCACCTATAAATTATTTAAAAATTGAATTATGAGCAGAAAATGCACGTCAAATTGCAGCGTACGGGACTGAACAACCCACCCACAAAGTACAGCATTCTGAAGCAGCCCAGAGTCACGATACCACATAGAGAAACCCACCCACGAGTTTCCTCTCTTTATGGGAGAGTAAAAAAAAAAATCAGAAGAAAGAATCAACTTAAAACACACACACACACAACGTCCCACGTGATTTCATCTAAGCCAAGACAAGACGAGACTAAGCCCACTACAGTCAGTATTGGGTGGTAATTTCAACAGAAAAAACCCCTCCCAAAAATAACTCAAACAAAAGTAAATAGTTGACAGAGATTATATATTCCATGAGGCGACAGAATGTGATATGCCATTCAATGAGTCAGTAAGAAACTTCATATTTTCTCTCAAAAGCCTCTTAAATAATCGTGTGATATATAAATATAATATATAAGAAGGTAATTCAAGTGAAGATTGTCTGCTAGTGAAACCTTGTGCTTTCAAAAATAACAAAAATGTTTTCACTCAAGACTTTAATAATAGGAACATACTTACTTGCCGACGATAAATGCAATCAAAATTGAAAAATATAAATAAATCGAAATATTTCTCATGTTATGTTCAAAACAGGTAGGTAAAGGTCTGAAATGCAATACAAATCAAATCAAATGCTGACCGTTGATTAAGTCAAAGAAGAACAAGCTAAACAAGCCATCTATCACAGTGCAAACAGAGACGGGCACCGCCTCAGGGCCGACTTCTTGCTGCCGCGTGCCCGCTCCTTTTTCTAAATGCAAAAAAATGTATCCTTAGACTACACGTTGGCGCTGACGGAACTGACTGTAACTAAACTGTAAATTATGTTTGACACCCCCATCTACACACTCTACCTCCACACACACAAAATCTACCTCTTTTCACCCTTCCAGCCCAATATTTTCAGCATCGCTTGTACCTCCCACTGTCCCAAGAGCGTATATTCTCAGATTCAGAGGGGTACCAAATTTGTGCATTTTTCCAAATTAGTGAACCTAATTAAATTTTAATTTTCGAAATATTTGTTAATATACCTTTAAACATTGTTAAATGTTATTATCTAACCATCATTACAAAGATACTACATCACTTTTTAGAAAGCAAGCCTCTTTTTCTGAAATACAGCTGTATTGGGCCTGGGACTGGGGTTAGGGAGTGCAAAAAAAAAAATGCAGGGGCTGGAAGGGTTAAGAGACTGGCTGCTCTATCTCTACCTGTCAGGACTGTCGCTCTGTTCATTTAAAAAAAACAACTTTCCTCCAGTAAGCACAAATCACAATCAGGCTTGCCAACTTTTGAGATACTGAATTCTGGAATTTTGATTGCTCCTGAGCGCCACTGACACACTTCTGTGACAGGCTACTAAAACCCCCCCAGCTCAAACAAACCAGTGGAGATACAGAGACAGAGAGAGATGAGAATGTAACAGTACAGTTACTACACATATCCCTTCGTCTTCCGCATTTCTATGCCTTCGAGTTTAAGAAAAAATAATTTATTATTAATTTTTTTGGCGGGCGGCGGGGCGGGAGAGACATAGCGCTGGCGTTTCGGGAAAGGTTCGGGAATGACGATGGCAATTCTGGAATTTCTTGAAAAATTCGGGAAAGGTGGCAAGCCTGCACAATGCAAAGCACTGGCTAGATATGTAATGTTAATCATCTGTAATACAGTACACACACATACACAGTTCGTAATTAATTGAAAAAAAAAAGAAAAAAAAGAAGAGAGAAACAACCTTAAAAAATTGCTGTGACATTTCATCATTAACCATTTTCTCATTAATAATATCTCAAGGAAATGGATGAAACCCTTCCCCCCAAAAAAAACCCAACCCAGAGCGAGATAAAAGTAAGTCAAGTCCTGACTGACGTTCGACCCCACAGGATTTGTCATAAATTCTGGACTTGACCAGAACTTGTTGCCCAGTCAAACTTTTACTTTGCCGCAGTTTTTCTGTGACGAACTCACAAAGCTCTGTAAAAATCTACGACATTAGATAAGTGAGAAATTCACTGGTCTAAATAAGTTTTAGTAAGAGTTTTACGGCACTTGCAACACTGTAAGGTCATATAAGTCCTGAAGATTAGAGCTGCTACAAGAGAGTAACAAGCACAAAAAAGAAGGAGGGGAGATAGAGACGATAGATTTTTTATAAGAAAGAAGAGGCAAACCACACCAGAGCACCCACCAACCTCCCACGGAGGAGAGATAAGGACAATAGATGTTTGGCAGGAAAGAAAAGGAGCAAACCACACCAGAGCACTCGCCAACCACCCATGAAGTCTAATTAAATACAACTCCAAACACAGAAGTCTGGTAATACTCGGGACCTCTATCACTTCTTAATCTAAGAATTTTTATACGTCATTGTGATATACACATAACATTCAAAGTCTGCGGACCTGTATAAAAAAAATACCCAGAATTCCAAATGCTTGAGTCTCCTTTAGCTACATAAAAAAAGACCTCGCTTATACCGAAACAAATGATGGCAAGGGAACAAACATTTCAGACAACACAAGGGTCTCAACGATTCTGGACAAAATTGACGCAATTAGCACCCAGAGGGCATGCACCTCGTTTAATAATTGCATTTATATAGCGCATATCCACGCTCGAGAGCATGTTCTACGCGCTTTACAACCATTATTACCCCAGCAGACCCTCTGAGAACACTCAGAAACATTCTCGGCTTCCGCGGAAGCATACAGAGCAAGCTGCGGATTTCACGCGCTCAAACACTACCAAACTGACAAGATCGTTCACTGTCTATAGCCGGGTACCCATTTCCACCTGGGTGAAGTGAGGAAAATTTGTGCAAAGTGCCTTTCCCAAGGACACAATGTCGGGCCCCGGACGGGATTCCAACCCACGACCTTACGGTTGCGAGTCCAAGAGCCATTTCTCCTCTGAATATTTGTTCTCAGATATCGAGGATATAAAAAGCTCTCCATAGGAAAGCTACGGAAAGAAAGAAACAGAAACATCATGATGAAGGCAATATATAACATAATAATAATAATAATATATGAGACTAAAGACATCTAGGATTTCAAAATCTTTCCAAGTAACAATCAACATATTATCAACGATAATGAGAATACATCTTAAGAAATAAAAATAGACAAAATACAAAGCATGCGACCAATAATGTGCTGTACATAAGCACAAAACGCCCACCGCTAAAAGCAGCGACAACTGATTCACCATGACAGAACAATGTATGCATTCTACCATGGCAGTAGCATCGCACGCACAGCTCGGATATGCTCATATTGTTTGACCAATATAGGGGGAAAAATGCAGGGAGCCTCTTGGATATGTGGATTTGGCATCTTATCAAACAAACAACGCAGAAAAAAACCCCAATCAACCAAAAATCATCCTGGAAAAAAACCAACAACAGTTACAACAGATCCACCGGACCTGCCATACATCTTCAGCACTCCATTCTCCTCCTCAGACACAGCCGGAAATACTTCGTAAATACCCCCACAGTGAGTAACAAAGGAATAAACCACACAAGAATCACCCATGAACGTTTTCCACAGCAGCACCTATCTGTACTTGCCCCACAAAGAATTCACGCAAAATTATAATCAATTCTCACAATTTACAAAGTTCCCACACATACAATCTTTCCGACGTGAGAAAGTTGCACAGATCGCTGGAGAACTTATGAACAATTTGGTTCTGCAAATACATTAAATTAAATAGTTACTGATAAATGCAAAGACACAATAGAATCTAGCAGCACTGAGCTAGACGACGTCTCATAATAAGTGCTAAAGATAACTTAAGATTGCTTGCTGTGCTGTGTAAGTAAAAGTTTTACCATAACCCTGTGCTACCAGCACATTTTAAGTTTAACGCAAACCGTAGGTTGAAGTTGAAGACAAACCGTAGGTTTACCGATCATGTAAAAAAAAAAAAAAAGTAAGTTTGTTGGAGAGACAGAGCCTCTCACTTCCCTGATGTACATCTTTGATTGTGCTCTGCCAAGAGAAACGAGACACGATCCCACGCCATGCCACGCCACCACCCCACTCTACCCACCCCAAACCACCATCCCACACCACCGTCCCACACCAACACCCCACACCACACAACCACCCCACCCCACTCCACACCACACAACCAGCCCATGCCACCATCCCACACCTCAATCCCACGCCACTAATAAGGACACCATCAAAAGTTTAAAAACCCACAATGATTGTGCAGACTCATAATCAAAAAGCTACCCAAAATCTCTGTACCACGTGCAAAACACACAACCCCACACAACACTTGATAAACACAACGGCTAAATGCCTCACCCAAACCCTAACCCGAACAGTTAAATGCCTAGCCCAAACCCTAATGGTTAAATGCCAAACCCTAACCCTAACTGTTAAATGCTTAACAATTAAATGCTTAAACCAAACCCAGTTTAATGCCTAACCCAAACTGTTAAATGCCTTACCCAAACCCTAATGGTTAAATGCAAAACCTAACCCTAACGCTAACAGTTAAATGCCTAACCCAAACCCTAACCTTAACGGTTAAATGAAAAGAGGACAACAAACTGCCCTTGTGGGACGCTTCGTACCGACAGCATCATCCATCTTTGTCTCTGATTTCATTGGAACTAAATGCATTTTAAGTACGATTGTGTGTGAGTGCGCATGCGTGCTCGTGTGTGTGTGTCTTTGGTCCTGGAAACATAAAAATTTCCAACTGGTTGACACATTTTTCTATGTAACTGTAACCCATAATATAGAAACATCTGGCACCAAAAGGGGACACGGGACCAAAATTTAAAAATGCGTGATAATTACATAATTCCCAGACACAGGTCCAGAGGGTGATGATGTCACGGGCCAGGCACCAGAACTGACACAACACACCTTCTCCCCACCCCCCCAGCACACCTCCGTAATATAACCCAACGAAGAAACTGCTGCACAGACTGACAAAGTATAGATTCGTTTGTGCGTGCCCGAGGGTCACCTCAGTGAAATTAAATGTACGTAAATCGGTCAAATAAATACTGTGTTGCACAATATCGAATAAAATCTGTTAAACAGTGGGATAAAAACTACTAGACAGCTTACAGTGTGACCAGATAAAGCAAAATACACCCGCAGAAGCAAACTGAGAACTCAAAAAATTATAGTTCCCAATCGTAAAAAAAATAATTTCAACATGGATTTTCATAATGGGGTTGTGAACCTTGTAATCTCCTCTCCGACAAATGCTTTGTTCAGCATCGTGGTGAAATCAGGCGCTTGTCGAAATAAGGAAATAGAAAAAAAAACAGGCATTTTTTCGCCAGTTTGTCAATTTTTATCGAATTTTTTTTTTTTTTTAGCTCAAAATCTTTTTTGTCCACATGACAATATATTTCCATCGGAATTTTACTGAAAAATGATGACTAAAGGTGCAAAATATGTAAATTTTCAGTTTTCAAGGACTCTCAAACTAATGAAGTTACCAAACTTTGGAGCCCATTTTCTCGCCAATTTTACCTCTGAAACCAGGGGACCCCCACCTTCTTCATTTGCAAATATCTCGACTTCTATTCAAGATATTAAAGGGAATTTTTTTCAACCGACAGCAAGACAAATGAACAAGCTTTTGGATGACACCAACAACTTCACATGATTTGACAAACTGGCGGAAAAACACCCATAAAATGACAAGCACCGGATTCCACCGCGTCATGACACAAAAATTTTGTTCAGCATATATCGCTTGACATTGTGGAATGAAAAAAAAATATTTTAAAAAATCAAAAAAATCACAAACTTCCGGAACATATTATAGATGTAAACAAACAGCTAAATACTAAAACAACAACACACTTCTTTCTTTGGTACATTTGGGTTTGGAATCATCAAAAACTTTCCGACCCGGCAACAGCCGAAGATCAGAAGGGTCTCAACAACAAGAAAATTTGTAATCATGACAGCTTGTCACCTCATCAGACAACCCCCCCCCCCCCCCCACTAAAAGTTGTCCTGCTCAAATCGATCATCTCAAATACCAAATGCTGCTTATTTTACACTCTTAAAATCAGAAGCTTCCATAAAAAAAAAAAAAAGTACTTTTCAATTAAATTTAACTTGGTTGGTGACACAATTTCACAGGTCAAAAAATAAAACATTTTCCCTAAAAAAGTGAAATACAGAGCGAAGACATTTCATTCAGCAATTTCTGAGACAGGCAGCATTTTCTACAAACAGTCAAGGTTACGTCTAAAAAAACAAAAAACCGTCAAGATTACAAAAACAAAACAAAAATTTTTTGCTCACTTGTCATTGCACCACACTTTTCACAACTTTGCCCGGAAGCAGATCCATAAATTGTGTTACTTACCAACGGATTAAAAGTGTTCACTATCAAAGCATACAAACCACGTGTTCATTATCTATGCATAACAACTTAAACGACAAACTATCAATGTATTCATTATCCATTCCACGCATAACATCTTAAATCACAAGCTATCAATATTAATTTATATCTTTTTTTTAAAATGGGCTGGTTGTGTAAAATCTGATATATATAATATATTATATAAGTATATTTATGATATATGTAGTTCCTTGTAAAATATCAAGGACACACTTGAATTAACCAAAAAGAAATGCATGACTCCACCTGATATGAAAAAACCCCCCCACTTCCAATGGTAACTGCTATACACACACAGACTGGGGGAACACTGACGCAAGCTGACAAAACGCCATTTTAAAATTCAACGCAGTTTCGAGAAAAAAAGGGGTTTTTTTCTCTGCGCAACCATTGAAAAATAGAGCGCTTCTGAAATTTTAATTTTAATTGATTCAAAAATTAGTTACAGTTCCGCTTTGATTTTTTCACACAAGCAAGGGTAACAGATCAGGCTTTCGATTTAGCAAATAAAAAGTTTGCACCAGAATGCAAAAAAGGCGTATTGTCAGCCGACGACAGAACAGTGAGTGCAGTGTGTGAGAAACATGGTCCCTGACAGACACCAAATGTGCAAGACGCACGGCACAAATATTGCAGAACACAAAATAGAATACAGTACACACATGTACACAGTTCGTAGTCACCCTTCATACACAGTAGTTCACAATCTACATGTTGTACGTATATATAGTTCACAATCTATATACCGTAAATACATAGTTCACAATCTACACAATGTATGTATACATAGTTCACAATCTACACGCTGTACATATACATAGTTCACAATCTACATACCGTGCATTCATAGTTCACAATCTACATACACAGTACGTATACATAGTTCACAATCTACATACCGTACATACATAGTTCACAATCTACACGCTGTACGTATACATAGTTCACAATCTACATACCATACATACATAGTTCACAATCTACATACACAGTACGTATACATAGTTCACAATCTACATACACCGTACATTCAATAGCTCACAACATATGGCTCAACATCACAAAAACTCCAAAACCCCACTTGCTGGCATGATTCCTTCACAAATCAGTACAGCATTTTCTCGCTTAATTCACATTTAAACTAAAAAATTGGCCAGTTTTATCAAAGGAATGTGAAAAAAGAAAGTAAATAAATCCAAAGGATTGTTTCAATCCCAGCAGACCAGATCCTGAAATCTTTACCACAGCCAAAGACATGCATGCTGAACGATCAAAATGATTACTGTTTAGGTGAAGAATTCTCTCTCTCTCTCTAAGACTAAGACTAACACTAAGACTAAGATGGTGCTTTCCTTTGTCCACAGACCACTCTGTCAACAAGTGAAAGTGAAACATACAGATGCCAGGAGGTCAAAACCGCTAGAAGACATAGTATCAAGGAACTTATAGAATTGAAAAACCTGGATTGATAACAACAATTAAAAACAGCATCTCACAGTGTATCTTTCAATCTTTGCCCTGTAATTCAAGTTCAAACTCGAAAAAAAAAAAGTTAAGAACATTGCATGTGGAAAGACTAAAGCTTGGAGCCACAGTGATCAGCAAACATGTTTGAAGAAGAAAAAAAAAAAGAAAAGAAATCTCGCCATGACGTTCACCTCAAATGTAAAAAAACCCAAAGTAACCAATGGTACAGAGACACACTTAGCAACAATCCTGAACCTCTGACAACAGTAGCAGAGACAGTCTACATAACGGAACCACTCTCCCATCCATGTGAGTTCGTTTCATTTCAAACTGCAAACTTTAAGTTAACGAAAGCAAACACAGAGCGAGGCACAGAAATGCATAATAATCAGGTTTAGTTTTAGTTTTATCATATAGGTGCCGAAGATTAGAGGGGTTACAAGAGAGTAACAAACACAAAAAAGAAGGAGGAGAGGTAAGGACGATAGATGTTTGACAGGAAAGAAGAAGCAAACCACACACAGAGCACCCGCCAACCATAATAATCAGGCTGGCTGGCTGGCGATGAACCACAGCAGGTGAACAGACATCATCAACATCTAGACGTACCCCTCTGTGACATAAGTAAGTTTGTATGTCTGACATACTCCATTGTTTTTTCTTATAAATACCAATCACCAAGGATCAAGGCCTGTTGCAAAAAACAGTTCTAGCAATAAGAAAAACCATGACCCTGTCAGAAAAATTCAAAGTAGCGTACGCAGCTGGAATTCATTTTAAAAACAGTAAATTTTCACACAAATTAGAGACCTTTAATACAGAAAGACGTAGCTGTATAAGTGTGGCATCGTGGGGAAATCAGGAGCTCATCAAAATTACGAAACTGAAGAAATTGACATTTTTCTGTCCCTTGAGCAATTGTTATTTTATGATTTTTAAAAAAAATCAAAACTTATATGTGAGGCATCATGGTGAAATCAGGCGCTTGTCAAAATAACAAAATCAAAGAAATCGGCATTTTTTCGGGCAGTGGGCAATGTTTTTCTATTTTTGGCCCAACACTTTCAATGTCCATTTAAAAATACATTTTTGTGTGGATTTTACTGAAAAACATAGATTAATAAAAGCACTAAAAATAGTTCATTTTCAGTTTCCAAGGACTCTCAAGCTACCGAAGTTACCACACTTTAGCAGCCATTTTCTCGCTAATCATTCAATGTTACCTCTGAAACCAGGCGACCCTGATCTCCTTCAACAGCAAAAATTTCAACTGCTATTTAACATAGATGGATATTTTTTTCACCAAAAGGAAGGCAACTGAACAGGCTTTAAGATAACACCAATATCCCCCCCCCCCCCATATGCCCAAAAATTGACGAGCGCCTGATTCCACCACGTCGTGACACATACAATCATTCAAAATACCTTTCTGAAAACAAGAAAAATTTCCCTCTGGGACAAAAAAGTATTATCTCATCTTATCTTACTTCAACATTTCGAAGGCACAAAAGTTGTAAAACTGCAATTTTCTCAAGGGCTCTCAGCTGCGCAAGTCCCCAAACTTTGGCAGCCACTGTCTCGTTAACACTTTGCCGTCTCATCTCGCTGATTGGCGATGTTTACCTCCCAGTTCCTTTGGATTTTCCCCGAATTAAGATTACAAAGTGTTAATTCTTTCTCTGGCACCAGGCAACCTTGACCTCCTTCAACTGCAAATATCTCCACTTATATTCAAGACAGACGGGTATTTTTTTTCCATCAAAAACAAGACAAAGAAACAAGCTTTTAGATTATACCAATTACTCCATATGCCAAACAATTTATGAGCGCCTGATTTCACCAAATTATGAAACGCACTCACACACACACACACACACGCACACACATGTAAAAGGAAAAGGAATAAATGCACAAAAGAATAATCATATATACGTAAAAGGAAAAGAAATAAATACACAAAAGAATAATCATATATATGTAAAAGGAAAAGAAATAAATGCACAAAACAATAATCATATATACGTAAAAGGAAAAGAAATAAATGCACAAAAGAATAATCATATATATACGTAAAAGGAAAAGAAATAAATGCACAAAAAAAGAATCATCATCTATCGGTTCACGACAAAAATCAACCTGCCGGCCTATCACAAAGTTTGTCCACAGAGTAACCAAAGACACGCTGCCACCAGTTATGTCACCCAACAATGCGCACATTTCAAGCACGGCCAAAGTTTCACCACTCATCGAATGAATATCACAACACAACATTTTACCCTTACGCGCACGGTACACAACACTCACTTTATACACCCATCCAAATCTGATTAGATTAGGACACATCCTCAAACTGCGCTGGGTACAATTGAAAAGACACGAAATCATAAATCGCCGCCTCAGAACTATTTAGTCCAAAGTGCGCTCTATAGTTGAGTTTTAAAAAAAAAAATAGTAGAGGGTTTTACAGCGCTCGCAACTGCATAAGGTCATAAAGGCGCCAAGGGTTGGGTGTCAACAGAGAAGTCTTTACAGGGAATCAGACTTAGTTAGACTGCTCACCTCTCTAGCTTCAACAGCACAAGGTCTGCTTCGACTATCAAGGCACCCCGGAAATAGCGGGTCACAAGAGAGTGACAAACATACAAAAGAAGTAGAGGAAAATGACAATAATAAGGATAAGGAAAGAAAAAAGTAGCAGTTCCCTGTTGTAGATCAGGCATAGTTATGAGCGTGACATGAGTCAGCCCATTTACAATTCTACTATGCTTGAATGAGAAATGTCCCCCCCTTTGGGAATGTCCTAAAGACACTTCAGTCAGTGGCACCGCCCCGTGGGGAATAGTTGAGGACACTTAGGACAAAAGTAGTTCCGAGGCGACGAAATGCGAGAAAGACCGAAAGGTTTCTTTTCTGGGCAGGATGTCCAGATACAAGTTTTGTTGTAGGATACGAAAAACGAGGCGGAAGTAAGCAGTTAAAAATTTCACTAATAGGTAGGATATAATATATATGATCAAAATAGGCCTCTCCAGCATTTACGATATGATTCAAGATACTTTCGATCACAAGACTATCAAAGTGACATTCAGCTCTAAACGACTTCTACTAAGATTTTCCTCAGTAACACTGCGAGCAATGCCTAGATTGTCATGTCGGCGGAACAAAGTTGGGGGAAAGAACAAACAGCTGTCCGTAAACTTATGAGACATCGACCTTTTATTAAATTTGGTTGCTTTTAAAGACAAGCGGGCCAACCCAAATTTCGGGGGTTTCCAGAAATGTTGACCTACGTTAAAAAAAAGGGCATTACCCAACCTATAGGAGAAGTTTGGTTTCATTGGTGTGTATATTCGTTTGGTTATAGAGAAAACTCTCCTGGTCTTTTAATGAAACTGAACAAGGGGCAAAAACTTTACCTTCTCGATTTTCTCAAAACAGCATTTTTCGGGACAGCCCACTTGTCCTTAAAAGTGACCATTTATTGCAACACCTACACCCCACACATCCTCACCACCTCTCTGCATAACCTATGTATGTACTGTAACACCGACCCACACACCCACCATCTCCCTACACAAAGTATATATACCACGTATTGAAACACCTCCCTCCC